TATTGAAAATTGCAAAATTTGCTTAGGCGTGTAATGATTCATTCACTCACCGACAATATTCGCAAAGATATTGCTCAAGCATTCGAAGGCCTACATACATACATACATACATACATACACACATACATACATACATACATACATACATACATACATACATACATACATACATACATACATACATACATACATACATACATACATACATACATACATACATACATACATACATACATACATACATACATACATACATACATACATACATACATACTTAGCCAGTGCAGAGAGAGCAAAAGATCTTCAATATATTCGTAAGGGTGAACACTTTATGTGAGTAAAGTGAAACATAAACTTCCTCTGCTTAGAAATACAGTAAAGGTAACTTTTATGCTTTAAAAACACATGCGTCCTGTATGCATGCTTTCCAATAACATGAAATATTGTCGTAACAATGCGTGGCACAAGCGTACATTGCCATAAAGTTACAGAACATTGGATTATTATAATGGCTTCGTTTTTTAAAGCCACTCACCCACTACAAAAAACACACGCTACTTTACACATTTTTTCTACACTTTCTTCGTAGTGCATTGATACACATGAGAAGGCGTATGAGAAGCCGATCACATCAGTTAAACACATTGCCGGGCTAGTTGGTTGGGGTTCGTAATCCAAGTGAAATAGCGCGGCACTATACCATACGAACTATTATGGCGAGGTGCGCTATATTATTGACTGATTGATAGCCCATATTGCTTCATCTTATCCGTACATCAGAAATAACTATCAAGCAAGTTCGTATAATACTTTTATCATATCGCACTGTTAGTCGTGGTAAAGAAACCAGACGGTTCCACAAGAACTTGTGTCGGCTTCAGACGGCTAAAGAACATCGTGGCGGGCTCAAGTTCAAATTTATTCCATATCGACAATATTAGTTTAGAGAAATTTTGTAGAAGATTGGTAACAATCAAGGAGCCCGAAAGTTAAAACTGAGGGGAGGGAGGTGCTTTCATACAATATGTGAGTAGGAAGGAAGATATACACAATTCATTCAGTGGTTACAGTATGTTTGGTGAGAAAGAAAATGAAATGTGCAAAAATAAATACAAGACCAAATACAATACGTGTGTTTGCAAGAGACACTGAAATTGTCTAATATTGAGAAAAACGCATTTTCAACGTAAAAAATGAAAGTGGCAAGAATATGTTTTTTTAACGATTTCTTCCAATATGAGAGCTTTGCAATCATGGTCATTCTGCGCATGTTGCTTTGGTAAATTCATCATGCGAAATGCAGTGGCAGACAGCCAGGTGACAGTTTCCAGGGGACTCTAGACAAGAGTCCCCCTTTAGTTTAGTAGCCACCGATAAAAGCAATTTTACAGAACTTCGAGAACTACAATCTTGATTTGTTTTTGCATGAAAGCAGAGAAACAGAACTTGTGAACGAAAGTGAGCACAAAAACGGACGTTATTTTGCAACAAACTTCCGTTTTGCGAGTAGCATCTTCACCAAAGTGTCCGAAACAGTGACAAAATATTTGTTACATACTTTGATGACGACACTTACAATAATAAACTTTAAAAGAATATAGTGCTGCGAGAAAGCAATTGATAAAGTTATAGCTGACAAACGGGAGCGGCTAAACAGCTGGCATCTCAACGACGCAGCAATGTCGCATGGTCAGACACCAAAACGAGATTTAAAAACATTCATATTCTGCTGAATGTAATTGTGCCAGTGCCGTTACAAAAATAAGGACCATCTTTTTCTGCCTAGCTTGGCCGTGTCTACTGTTCCTAGAGCACGTTTTCTGTCACATTGCTAAGGAAGGGGATGGAGGCAGAAAAGTGGGTGGCCGAACAGTACCTCGTTACCACAAATAAAAACAATGAGAACAACCAAAATTAAACGAAACGTATAGCGTGTGCCATGCAGAGTTCTGAATGTTTAAGATTTGCAAAATAAGAGGAAACTTCGCTTGCAAGACTTATCGATAAAAGAATTCCCAGCAGTATCGATAAAATCATTGGAAAAGGAGCGGGAATTGTATACACGATTAGTTGAATGAAGCGACTAGCGACACTGAATTCTGACTGGATGGCTCACCCCACTACTGGGGACTGTCCGCGAATTGGGTATTTAAAGTTGTAAAAGAAGACAAGAAATCATCTACAAAGGTTGATTGCATACAAAAGCAAGTAGTAGGTTGATAAGTTTTTAAAGCATTCTGTTCCAGAAAAACATGGTGAAGAATGTTTTTTTCTTTCGTCAACTTTATTCTCTTCTGTACACACTTTTTCTATCGTGAAAAGAGCGACGACGAAGAAGAATAGCGAAACGGTTGAAGGCATCCAGCGCCAGAATAAAAGGGGCAAGCAAGCAAGCAAGCAAACTTCAGGTGAGGCCTTGTTTGAAGGTAATTTACCTAGATTAGTGCAGTTAGACGCATGGCATTCAGATGTCTGTTCAACAGGCGTCACGTACTGTATGCTTTCCTCGGGGCATAGTCCATGGGCTTACACGGCACAAAACTTCATGCACAGGTCTCGCGATATATTCACACGACCTTTCAGCCTTCTCATGCAAGAACTTTAATTTTTAAGGAGGTGTTTCAGTCTCAAGTACGTTTTTACGTTTTCAGTTTTTGCTCGTACTAAAGACCGTACTGCACCAGTTTTTATGCGTTGCCGATTCGCCCTTAAATAAATGTGCACAACTTCCCAAAATTAGGTAGAAGCCGCACCGCGGTGGTCTAGTGGCTAAGGTACTTGGCTGCTGACTCGCAGGTCGCGGGTTCGAATCGCAGCTGCGGCGGCTGCATTTCTGATGGAGGCAGAAATTTTGTAGGCCCGTGTGCTCAAGTTTGGGTGCACGTTAAAGAACCCCAGGTGGTCGAAATTTTCTGAGCCCTCCACTACGGCGTCTCTCATATTCATATGGTGGTTTTGGGACCTTAAACCCCACATATCAATCAATCAGTCAATCAAACTTAGGCAGAAAACGCAGCGTATCAGATGCTGAAACTCCTACTAAGATGTAAAAAAAAAACATTACGGAACTGCGTGGAGCAAGATACTTCCGATTTCTTGTCGCGGATAGCCAAGAAAGTTCGTGCTGTTCTTTTCGCAAATGACGTGGAAGGCTAGACAGATTACGCAGCTGGTGAGACTGACAGGGGCGTTGGATTATCTCTTGATCATGGTAACACGAACAGCGATGCCTCCTTTATTTATTAAAAATTGTATAGATGCTACAATTTCAAAGGGCTAAAATCACGTAAGCCTTTAATATGAAAAAAAACACAAAAAAATTATGATATAGTTGTACTTCTGGTCCAGACTAACGTTCGTCTGCTACGAGCGGAACTTCGGCGATGTTTTAGAACTCACCGAATCGTACAAAATTTTCGATGTATGTTCTTTTTGATGCCCTGATTAGGCCGGTCACCAGGGGGAAGAGGGCGCCCTAGGGGTTTCGTCTTTCTCGAAATTCTTATGAGAGGTAGTCTTTTACCTGAAGTAAGTAATGGGAATAGATTTTCTCTATTATAGCCAATGCCTTCAGGAAGTGTCCCCGCTATATATAAAAAAAACTCTAGCTACATGCTTCCGCTTGATTATGTTTTTATTACCATTATTTTTGACACAGAAATACAGAGACTGGTTGCTCACTTGAGGATAACGCCACGAAGGCAGGCCACCCTGCATGGGTGACATGATATTCTACGACACTATCTCGCAGCCAACGTTTTAAGGCGTTTTTCAGACGGTGCCTGCTCTCGTTTTCATTTTCCTGATGTCTTAATTTCCTTGTGTCCACTCTGGCCATAGTGTTTTATCAAAAGACTGATGTTTTGAAATAACTCAGGTGTAGGGCGAAATGTGCCTTGAGAATATGTTGCGTGATGGTTTTATCAATCAGTTTCTCTCTAACACAAATAAGACAAAACGCAGAATGCTGTGAGACTGCAAGGCTGGTTAAAGTGAATAAATAAGTATATTTACTTCTCAGATTGCATATCCGACTGCAGTTTTTGTCCATATTTCTAACCTCATTTGTAAATACAAAATCTAGGTTGGAGCTGACAGATGGAAACAACGTAGTGGGATAATCAGGGTGAACATTAGAAACCTCATTTGTAGTGTGCTTCACGTGCTGTGACAACAGTTAAAGAAGCCGAATGAAGTTTGAGTTATAGTTGATGCCAAATTATTTCTTCCATTTGCTAAACGAAAATTAGAGACGCTGGTGTGTGGTGTCGGAAAGAAGCTGCGAATCAAACGCAACTTCTTTTCCACAATGTGCAACACAACGTGTAACATCAAGCTGCGCCTGATTCACAGCCTAACTGATTTCACATGCCAGAAAACAAGGCAAAATATTTATACTACTCATGCATTCATATAATTTCTTCTCTTGCTGAAGTGTTTTGGGAGACTTTATTAGGTTATTGGTGCCAGTAGGCTATTCGGAGACACCTGCGTTGGCGGAATCTGTCCATCACTTGCGTCAAGTTTGGTTACTTGGTTGTGCAAGAATGCTCCCTTACACCACACAGCGTAACAAAATAAAGCAAAAAAATCAAGCTGAAATCCTGTCTCCAGCCAACAAATTCCAGTCCCGGCGCCAGAGCCAACGCCCAGGGTGTCGGTCGCATAACCACGAGGCATCTCATGGTTATGCGAGTTATCTCGAATCACCCACGCACAGAGGATTTCATCACAGTCGGTAGGCATGTTAGACATGAGTGTCACAGAAATATTCTTTAACCTTTCCAGTTACGCTGAACTTTCAGTTACCCTTGGTGGCTGATTATGTTAGGCAGGTACATAGAGCTGCAAAATGGTTACGTGGGGATATCTCGCATACCTCAAGTGTAGTCGAATCGAACACACCGTCGAAAGGTCCCTACACGTGTAACGTGCCGTTAGAGGGGGATGTTTCGTTGGCGCAGCACTTGGAGAGTGGAGGCGGTGAGGGTGGGTGGAGGAGGAGGTGCGTTATGTGGAGCATGTCGTTGTGGAAGGAAACAGCCGTGTTGGATTCGCTGCACTGAAAAGGTGTCATTGGATGTGACAGCTGCTCACGGGAATCAAAGTCGTTAACATAAAGTGTTGATCTTTGGGTGTTTGTCTTCGAAAAGGCACGATTACGAACATTTCAACGTGCAGCTTTTTCTCCCGCAAGTGCGGCTTGCGGGGTACTGCGCAGGAACAACATATTACCGCTCACCACTTGTGCCAATCACTGGATTCACTTCGGGCGCGTGCTAACAATGCGTTCCACGTCCGCGACCAATTCCCTAGCTAACGGCAGAATCACGCCACGCATGCCTAGGCCACCGTCGAGAATGCTGCCCGACTTGTCCAAGCTGCAACTGGCGTTTGCCGTGGTCACGGCCTTTGTGACCGGGAATCATCTGTGGGGAGTCGATGAGGAACAGCCTGTCGCGCCACCGCCGGCCATCCCAAACTGCCACGTCATCAGCACGGGCCTCAACGCCGACGAGAAAGCCGCGCTGCTGAGGCAGCACAACGAGCTTCGCAGCATGGTGGCGAAGGGACAGCTGAAGGGGCTCGAGCCTGCCGCCAACATGCTAGCATTGGTGAGGGCGAGTTGATATCATTGACGTTGCTTCGCAAAAAGGTCTACATTGTGGCATACTCTAGCGGCTAAGTTTTTGCGCTATTAAGATCGACGACCTAGGCTAATGCAAGCTATGGAAGCTAATGCAAGCTATAGAAGCCCAGTTTCGGTGGAGCAAACTTTGAACTTTTTGGAGCGTCCCACGCATTGTGGGAATAAAATTCACTCAACGGAGTCAGTGAGGAGCTGCTTATCCCACTCCCCAAGTCTTATGAGGCGGATCAACGTCATCGCGCAGTTTGAGTAGTGTGCATATCCTAAAATATTAAATTAAAATTATTATTAATATTATCCTAAAATATGCCACGGTATGCGGGTAGGCGCCACTCGTGACTGTGAAAAGGATTTTATGGAATAGACGACCAACCTGTTGAGATCAGGAACTGCAATTCATGTCCGTTGTACGCTCAAAACCTCCCATACCAAAGTTCGTGCGCGCCAAGTAAAGAAGGTAGCCAGCAAAGCATCAAGACGTTGGTGGCTAGATAGATAGATAGATAGATAGATAGATAGATAGATAGATAGATAGATAGATAGATAGATAGATAGATAGATAGATAGATAGATAGATAGATAGATAGATAGATAGATAGATAGAATTATAGATAGATAGATAGATAGATAGATAGATAGATAGATAGATAGATAGATAGATAGATAGATAGATAGATAGATAGATAGATAGATAGATAGATAGATAGATAGATAGATAGATAGATAGATAGATAGATAGATAGATCCTTTTTTATGAAACAATTTCGGAAGCCGTTTAATCGCTCTGTTTACTTTTATCTGAGAGTTTAAAACTTTCCTGGTATATAAGGAATAAACCTGCTGCTGAAGGCATTTGTGCTCAGCTTCGGGTGCACGTTTAAGAGCCCCTGGTGTTCGAAATTATTGGAGCCCTTCACTACGACAACTCTCAATATCTTATGGTGTTTTTGGGACGTTAAACCCCACATATCTGTCAAGAAACAAATTTACCCCTGGTTTGTGAAGTTTGGCAAGGCTTCACGCTGACCATGCATCAAGACAGGATTCTGAGCTAGACGTTTAGGATGCGTGTCAGACGGAGGCTATTTGCTGCAGGGATAAGACGTTGCGTTAAGAACTAAAGGACTGCCCTTTCATTAGCGATTGATTGAATAAATTGATATGTGCGATTTAACACCCCAAAAACACGATATAATTGAGAGACACCGTAGTGAAGGGCTCTGGAAATTGCGACCCTCTGGTTTTTTTTTAAGTGCACTCGTAGCTGAGCACACGGGCCTGCAGCATTCTCGCTTTCATTGAAAATGCAGCCGCCGCAGCCGGGATTTGATCCCTTGATTTGCGGATTTTCTTAGTGACAAACACTTGTTCATTAATTACATTTACGATGCAGACGCTGATGTTGGCTGTAATCTAGCAATACAGTTCACACACTCCCTAGCCGTGCGTGTAGTGTCGATTGGATTTCATTGAATTTTAACTCCAAAGCGTATGAATTCAAGCCACTTGGCACTTATCTATTCATTTTTCAAAAACAGCCCAAAATAAAATTTGGGTATGGGTGGGCCACACCAAGGCTAGGAGCCAGAACTGGCACTCCCTGCAAATTGATTTAGTTTATTGTGACAATGTGACAACGCACTGATATAACATAAATGGCAGTACGTACACAGGAAAATGGTGATATTATGCAAATTTCTTCGGCGAATGCAGTGCCGGGTCAGAATGATTAGAGCACCCACCTTCTACAGTATAGGAGTTCTAACCACACCATCAACGTTTCCGTCAATAGATTTCATATTTTTTGCAATGTTTATTTCTGCACAGAGGTGGGACGACGACCTCGCCGAATTGGCGCAAGCGCAGGCCAAACAGTGCAGCTTTTCACCGGAGGTGGATGAGGAAGAGAAAACAAGTGAGGTTCTTTAGAGTCTCCTAAGTGCAAAAGTTGACTGGCGCCACCATTTAACCTTTAATAGTCTTTAGCGGCGCCAGTTAAAGTAGAACACTAATTTAAAACACTGATTTGAGTTTGAACACTTGACTTGTGCGTTTTGTATGAACACTGTATCATCCTAATAGTGAACACATCGATTCCTAAAAACGAAATGAATAAGGCGGATGTTCAAATCAGTTTTGCGGAGAAGTGTTAACGCTAATGCATAAAGTAAATTGTTATATAAAAAATAAAAAAAAATTTGATAGAATCGCCTTGTTTGGATCAGTGATAATTTCCCAAAACTATAGCAAATTTAGGACTCCGCGTTTCTTATCACACAGTTTGATGCAATTTTATCATTGGAAACTTCTTTTTCCCAGCAAACGCTGACAAAGGCGAGAGGCGACCTTAAATTCAACTTTACATTGATGCCCGTATTGCTTGAAACTATGCCTTTACAGCAGTAGCAAAGCAACACTGAACATAAGAGAAGTTGATGTACCGAATGCGCTTTAGTAAAAAAAAACCAACAATTAGCTGCAAGCGTTGACTTCTAAAGTATAACACATCTATGCTGCGCTATACAGATAAAAATAGCAAATATTGCCCCTTTTGCTTTCCTTTAGTTAAGTGTGTTCTTTCACTTGGTTTCGTCGAAAAAAAAAGCAACATCTCGAACGATTCTCGTTCTTTCACTTTCTCCGTGTGCGTGTTGCTGTGAGAACTTTTTTTTTTTGTACTTCTTCTGTATTTTATGGCATGCCTAGCATTTTGATGCATTTTAGACTCACACATAGTGACTTAGATGCAAAAGTGAAACTACTTATTGGTTTAATGTCTCTTTGAATAAGTGTGGTTCCACTTTTTATATGTGGCTCCTACTTATTTTAAAGACACAAAAGGGAAACGGTGGTTGGTTTATACTGACAAAGTGCACTTTGATAACTTTAATGTGGTGTGTTACAATAAGTTCCTCATTAGCGAAGAAAACTCAAAGTCTCAATAATATATTTTGCGTCAAAATCTACGTGCATGACACCAGAAGAATTAAATTAAATAACTGGTATTTTCTTGATATTGGCTCGCAAAAAAATCGGGAAACTTCGTCTTTTTTTTTCAGTCTATGGCAGGCGCATATGATAAAGTACTTCATTTTTATCAATTGAAAGCTATGTAGAACCCAGTAGACGCCTTGAATATTGACGACGTCACGGTGTTTTTAGTGGGAGAATCTTAAGCTGGCATCTCCACCCACATTTGCTTTTCCTGCCTCTACTAGCTTAGAAAGCGTCGTTTTGCTCTAAAAGTGGCGTTTTTGATATTGTAAAAGTCTACTTTGTAATACGCGAAAAATCGTTTTGCTGTTAGTGTCCATTTAGGTGGGAGCTTACTTCCTTTTTGATTTTTGTGTTTCATCCTCTAAATTCACGGTGTTGGTCTAATTCCACATTCCTGTTCATGCAGTCAAGCCTCCCTCAGTGGGCCAGAACGTGGGCTGGGAGGCAAGCTCGGATCCATTCTCGGATCACCTGGACCTCCCGCACCTGAGCGCTTGGATGGATCAGCACACGGACGTCGAAGACGACGTCATCAGCTCCTACCGCAATACCGAACGTGGCATCGGGCAGTTCACTCAGGTGTGGAACATTGTCCATTTCTTACGCTACTATTGAAATCAGATGGTTATTGAATATTAGGCACCCTTATCGAAGGCTATGTATTTCTATGGGCTGCTAAAAAGCCCGGTTGCAAAAGATAAAAGAATTTGATGCCCAATAAAAAGGCTGTTGCCATGGGAAGTCTATTGTTTACGCTTTACAATCAGGAAAAAAGCTATACAGTCTGCTTCATACACTACTCTACGAAGTGAATGACTGTATTTTATACCTCTGCTTTAGATATACCCCAACCGATCAGACTAATCCAGTCCATGACAAAAAAGAGCTTCGAAGCATTCTTGCGTTAACGGTTACTGTGCCTTTACTCTGCGATATCAGTGTTCAAAGATATATATTGCCACCTAGAATGGTAAGCGCTAACCACACTTCTTCGCTCTCTTTGTCCTTTTTCGCTCGCTAGAGCTTGCCGGCTCACAACTCTAGGTGGCATTATTCGTCCGCCTAGAGCCTTATTTTACGCGGTGATACTCGCCTTATTGTGCCCGGCCAGCAAACATTTCCTTTTTTAGGGGCGAAGCTTCTTGGGGCGTGGGCTGTGCGTCCCCTGTAGCCTGTATGTAGCCACCTCTAGTTTAGTTCTTGCAGTGTTCACTAGATAGCGGTACCGTCCCCTGTATGTAGCCACCTCTAGTTCTTGCAGTGTTCACTAGATGGCGGTACCGTCTCCTGTATGTAGCCACCTCTCGTTTAGTTCTTGTAGTGTTTACTAGATGGTGGTACTTGTAGCTGATGATGAAAAGATGCAAGATGTTATACACTAGAAAGCGGTACTTGTAGTTGATGAAAGACGCGAGATCTTATAAAATAGGAATGATGTCACATATGGCGCGTGTCATTGGTTGAAGGCAATCGTTCGATTTAGTGCGGCGACGTACGCTAGGGGGAGTGTTGTAATAAAATCCGTTCGCTGTTGGCGCGCGCTCGGAGTCGCCGGATGGATAAGGCTGCACAGCGGAGAGAGCGCAAGGCACAGACCATAAAGCCGTCATAATGAAGGGACATCGCAAGCCATCCATCGTCTAAGAACAAATAAAAGTTGATTTGTGTATATACACACACAGCGTTTCTCACGTATTTACATGATGATTCACTGGGCAAATTACACGGAACATTCACAGTTTACCGATGAATCCCTCCGGAGCTTCGCCCAGTCATCATCATTCACCCCGTGAATATGCCGTAATCTTTTACGTTGTCCATTGGGTCTCGAACGAACTGAACCTTGTTAATGTTTTTTTCTCTTATGACCAACATCAGAAAACTTTCTTTGCACCCGCATATGCTCTGTGCACTATAGGTATCGTTTCTCTTTTTTTTCTTATCGGCCCTGCTGTGCCCTTCTGTAAGAGCATCGAGTAGATGCTCTAATGGGAGGGGGAGTAATTCGACCTAGAGTTGTGAGCCGGCAAGCCGTAGCCAGCTGAAGAGGGCAAAGAGAACGAAAAGGAAGTGTGTGTTAGCGCTTCGTTTGAAAATACGCGCTCGTGTCTTTCTGCCCTGCTGTTCCTGTCTTGTCTCTACGGCTCTTGGTGCATGACAATTTCATCACAGACAGTACAAATTATTAACAGGTCTACAAAACACTTTAACAGAGGATTCGTTTAGAGAAGATGGTTAACGATTTCGACTACTTTACTATGAGAGAGCATTAGGCTATCCTGGAGCCTCACACTTGATGAGGCCCTGCAGACAAAAAATCAGGAGGGATGAAGAAACTGTGTTTAGAAAAAAAATGTTTAATGATTTCGAGTACTTGGTACTCAACTATGGGAGAGCACTGAGCCGTCCCGCTCTACTGAACGTGGGTACATGTACGACAGTACATGTACGGAGCCTCCACCCATTTGCCACAGAAAAACAAATAAATGGTTACACGCTGGTTCGGCCGTAATAATCCCAAAGTATTGGACGACTCGTCCCAACGACACTGGTTTAGACTGCTGTTTCCCTTGCATTAGGATTAGGCCCAAGTAGCTGGACGCATCCGCACTGGCCAGTTGGTAGGTGTTGTTTGCCTGACGTATACTTTTTATTGACAACATGCTACCGGGATACCGGGTAAAGTTCAGCGTGTTGTCAACAAACTTTTAGCTCCCCATACGTTAATATGCAAGTTTACCCTTTACGTTTCGGCAGTGACCTTTTTTTAAAAGTATATTTTCTTTTTAGTTTAGATTTATTATCGGCGGCAAAAGAATAGAGGGTATTTTGAACGTCTACATATCCTGGTATACGGGACGAGCTGTAGGAATGCTGGGTTATCAGACGATGAGGTCGACATTTTATGACGTTTCGGGAAAACACAGTCATTGACACGTTTGTTTTCACCAACCGTTTTCAGGCAACAATGATTAAAAGCGTCACGTATTCGTAATTGCGCCGCTGCAAGTCATTTACGCCAAAAGTAGTATGCACGAAGTTCCTGCAATAAATATGTTGTGCTTGCCTGGTTCAGTTCGATCCCGCTGGACGTCACTCCCTGTCAAGGGTGTCGAGAGCTTAGAACTTCTGACTTTTACGGCTGTGGTACGTTACGTCATTCTAGGTTTGGCAACTGGGCTAAAACAACGTGGACGTGAACGGCGCTTGCACTTCAGCCTATTTTCACTCGGTGGCTCAATTCTCCGGAAAGCTACTATTATGAGACACCTCTAACAAAGCTGGATTTACGGGATAGGACCATAAACGTAAACTTATCCGGCAAAGAGTTTCCTAAAACTTGTTGCGGGTGAGTTGCCGTTTTCTTGTGTTCAAAGTGTGCAATAACTGTTTCCTCCCAGGAGTTGTTTACGTTTCCTAAAAACTCACGTATGCATAAATTCCTTCCGCTATCCGGTAACACGGTGACGTAACGAATGATACGTATAAGCTAAGAGCCTACTAATGTGTGCAAAGCTATACGTCATAGCGTTTTTTCTACGCCGTAGCGCTGCACACTGTTTTGCAAGTTTAATCAGGCAGCCCACTGAAGCACCACTCTTCAGTTTCATTAAGCATAACAAAAAATATCTTGTAGCGACTGCAAACGCGGGAAATAATTTTACAAATGTGAGTGGCAAAAAATAATTAAAGTGAAGGGCACAGAACACGAGCATTGGCCACGGCCACAGGCTCGGGCGCCGGCTTCTACACCTACGATTCAGTCATACTAGAGTGTACTAGAACTTTTGAGTGGCGCGACCGAAACGCTCTCCCCTTGCTTTCTCCATCCCCAACTTGCGGCGAATGTAGCGGCGGCGCTGCCATCGCCCAATCTTCCCACTTGGTTTACTCGGCTGGCTCGGCGGCATCGCCGGCATCTCGGTTTTAGTCACGAAATGACGAAGAAGTAGCGTCTAAACGATTGTTACGCGCCAGGTTGCACAACTGGATATCCGCGTGTGCAACAAAGTCGGAAGTTATCGCTTTTTAAGGCCCCGAAAGACGAAGAACGACGACTTCTTTGGGAGCGGAACCTCCATCGGCTTGACAAGCCGCTTGACGCCGATTGTGCTGTGTGCGAGTTTCATTTCGAACCGCATTTCATCGCGAGAGACTACGTACATGTTATCAATGGTGTTCAAGTCCAAATTTCTAGGGGAACGCCGACACTTGCCTCTGATGCAGTCCCGACGATCTTGCCCAACCCGCCTGCATATTTGACGCCGGCTCCGCGGACCCGAAAAAAGCGGCGGCATCAGTGTGTGCCGGCTGAGAATGACAACAGAAAACCGCGACGCATTAGCACTCCTGCACAGCTCCTTGTGGATACCAACGGTGCAACTTCTGCAGATGGCGACGAAGCTGACGAGGCAAGCTCAAGTCCCTCGTCTGACACCGGTTGTCACTCTCAGCGACCTTCGTGGTCTTGTCCTACCATCAAAGTCATGGGCGCTGCATGAGTTTCCTGGATTTGCCGGCGTGTCGTACGTAGCGTGCTCACTGAATCCTAGCACTCGTGCACTTTGCATTCAACGAGCCGTATACTTCACCTGTGCAGACAATGGAAGCGTGCAATGTGAAGCATTCGTGCAAGAGAAACTAATGAGCAAGTCCAGTTTAGTAACTGTTCGAGAAGCCTCAGATGCTCTGCAGCTTGTTGCAAGCGTCCCACTCTGTTGTGGAGCAGCAGAAACTTCATTTTTGCCACCTTCGGACCTTACCCACAATCTACACGCGCAAATGAAGTCAAGAGGAGATATCTTCTACAGTGTCAAAAGCGCACAGCAGCCCCTGAAATTGAGTAGGCTATCAATTGCTACAGAGGCGTAAAAAGGATGTCATTTTTCGTGCATATTTTCTTACACTCTTAATTTTTTGACGGTACACCAAGAATAAAAAACAATTTTTCCTAGAAGAGGCTTGTAAGCGAGAGAACGTGCAAATAATGACGCGAAATCTCAAAATAAATTTTTGATCTCGAATCTTTTTGTATTAAACCTGTGATGGTAAATTTAGCAGCATTAGGGATCTCGGTGCACAATTCATCGATCTAAGCCAATTTTTTGTTACACTTCAGTCTCCCTTCAAACGATCTTTCTACCATAACATCTTTTTTTATTTAAATGCATTTTGGAAAGACAACCTAAACTCTACCGTTCTGTTTGCTTTGTTTTATGTTATCTTTCGTATCCTGGCTCTATATTTTACGTTTTTTACTATTTACTTATTGCAAATGTATTGTTTTAGAGATATGTAAACCTTGCACTTTTATGTTATCAATTATGATTATCATTAGTTACGACTTTGCTTTGCAGTGTTGTTGCGTTTTTTAAACTCTCAAAATCTTCCACTACTATGTTTCACTTAAGACATTCTTCTGCAGTATTACGTACTTGCATTTTTGTGGTCCTACAACAATGAATCTATTCCCATATTTCAAAACCAAAGGGAGGTTTGTAAAAACTCTGCTGTTCTTCAAATATTATCAATAAAGCCTACTTTTTTGTCATGTGTGCACGCATCCACAAGCACCGAGC